GCCACGGAAGCTCTAGGCGATACCAGTAGTAGCTTCCCAAAACGTATGCTCAACGCGTCCAGCTGCGCCGCTACACGCCGGAAAAGTTGCTCCTGAAGGTATTTCCAGCTGATAGGGGCCCGGTTGATGGAAAGATAGGCCCGTGGCCTTGCTCCTAACGCACTCGTGCAAATTCTATCATTAAACCCGACCTGTGGGGAATGATATTGGTTCTGAATGGCTCACCATGTACACATTCCACTTTTGTAAGTAATGCAAAGATTCATGTTTACTCACCGAGAAATCCAGCTCAAAAGTATTCCAAATAAAGTCTCCGGATTCGGAGCGCCCTTCGTGGATATCATGATTGGCCGACAAAGTCTCCAGATTTGGAGCGTCCTTCGTGGATATCTGTGACAACCCTCACCACTGATTAGTGCTAATCTATAATTAAGCATGTTAACTAACTGATTGACTGAAATTCTGAACTGATTGATTGAGTGTATTAGTTTAAATGCATGTCTATCTGTTTGATTACTAAATTATCTGTTCGTGTATTATGTTTAAACTGCAAATTGAAGGCCTTATCGGCGGCCGAATCCGAAATTGATTAATGTTTTATGCTAATTGAAGTTCATGTGATTTTATGGTATATTTAATTGAAATGTGATTTGGTATGATTAAATTAGATTTAATAATGTTGAATTACATTAGTTGGACTTATCTACCATTTTGCCACTTAGTGGGCCACTACCTAGACAATGTTGAAGCCTTTCTACACTTGATCACACTTCACTCATCAGCCATATTGAGGCCATTTTAAGAGAGAGAGAGAGAGAGAGAGAGAGAATTGGAGGCTTAGGGGATTGAAGGATTCCTTGCATATTGAGCTTCTATATTTGAAATTAGAGACTTAAGGTGGAGAATTTACCTTCTTGTTCATATTTTGGGTTGCTTCTTACATGGTTTAGAGGATTGTTGGAGTTTAGAGCCAAGTTATGGCTTAAATTGTTGAATTGAAGCTTGAATCATGCATGCATGTACATATTCTTGCATTTTGAAATTGATTTTCATGAAATCTTGCATGCAAGTTTACATTCTTGTTCTAGTCCATGAGTTCATCATGGTTTTGAGTTTAATCTTGCTTTGGATCATGTTTTGAGGCATTAGAATTCACTAGAATTCATACTTGTCAGATGTTCTTCATGTTCACAAAAACTTCTTTGAAATTGTGTTTAATTGAACTACCTTTGGGCTTTGATTTCTCAAATTGATCTTTGAAACATGTCATATTATGAGTTTACAAGTGTTTCCAGAAAATTAGCCCAAAAGGATCGAATTTGATGCTTTGAAGTTGAGTTTTGAGCTTGAGGTTCAAATCTGGAAATTCCAGATTTTGGACTCACGCTCGAGCGTACACACTGAGTTCATGCAGTCCGCTCGAGCAGGAAATGCATGTATCCAGTACTTTGCATGTGTTTACAGTCCGCTCGAGCGGGGGAATGCATGTTCGAGCGAGGACTTGTGTCTCACGCTCGAGCGGAGGTCGAGCGCCCATCGAGCATGAATTTCACCCATCCAGTACTTTTGCAGTCCACTCGAGCGGAGTAAGTCATGCTCGAGCGAGGCTCTTTTGTCTGCATGTTCGCTCTAGCGGGGAAACCCACGCTCGAGCGGGACCCTGTTTCAGCAAAATTTTGAAAAGTGTTTTTAAGTGCATCTTTGCATCCTCATTCCATCCTAGGTATTCTTAGGCCTAGTTTAAGGCATCTTAACGAGGATATTAATGTAGAACCATACCGAGGCAAATTAGGGATTAAGTTATTATTTCCCAACTGTGTAGCTTAGTGTGTGTTCGTTCTGTAACTGTGCAGGGTTGGCATCCGAGGACGCTCTAGCTGCTTATAGCCCAGTGCTCTGTGAGTAACAATGTTGTAAAGATATGTTCAATCATGAATATTTTCTGAATGAATAACTGTATTGCTTTCTGAAATGATATATCTTACTGAATGAATGTTTGTCCTATTTGTGAACTGTATTCGTGGCATCCATAGCAATTTACATTTACTGTACTGTACTGCTACTGTCACAGAGATCTCTGTCGGTTCCCATGCTTGGAACCACTACTGTTTACTGATATGATGGCCATCAACTGACTGTTCGGTCTATTAAGATCTACTTTACTATTGGATGTACCACATATGACTATTATAGTTTCTAAATGACTGTTATGGCATGAAATATGAGCCACAAACTGAATGACTGATATACTGATAAATGACTGTTTTCAATACTGAAAGGACATTTATTCTTAACCTCTTTACGCATATGTTATTCACTGGGCTTTAGCTCACTGCTCATATATATATGTAGGTGTTCAGGCACCGGACCGTTACTAGAAGCGTCAGGCTAAGTCCTTGTTTTGTCAAGCTAACCTTTGTGCCTCACTTCGAGGTTCCAGATCTGTTCAAGCTAAGGCTCAACTGTGTATCTTAGTGTGTGTTCGTTCTGTAACTGTGTAGGGTTAGCATCCGAGGACGCTCTAGCTGCTTATAGCCCAGTGCTCTGTGAGTAACAATGTTGTAAAGATATGTTCAATCATGAATATTTTCTGAATGAATAACTGTATTGCTTTCTGAAATGATATTTCTTACTGAATGAATGTTTGTCCTATTTGTGAACTGTATTCGTAGCATCCATAGCAATTTACATTTACTGTACTGTACTGCTACTGTCACAGAGATCTCTGTCGGTTCCCATGCTTGGAACCATTACTGTTTACTGATATGATGGCCATCAACTGACTATTCGGTCTATTAAGATCTACTTTACTATTGGATGTACCACATATGACTATTATAGTTTCTAAATGACTGTTATGGCATGAAATATGAGCCACAAACTGAATGACTGATATACTGATAAATGACTGTTTTCAATACTGAAAGGACATTTATTCTTAACCTCTTTATGCATATGTTATTCACTGGGCTTTAGCTCACTGCTCATATATATATGTAGGTGTTCAGGCACCGGACCATTACTAGAAGCGTCAGGCTAAGTCCTTGTTTTGTCAAGCTAACCTTTGTGCCTCACTTCGAGGTTCCGGATCTGTTCAAGCTAAGGTTGCTTTTGGGGTGTCTCAGATTCACCCTATTTGTCTCTGTTATGTATAGACTGAATGATACTTGTACTGTACTGTTATGGTGGGAATTTGGTCCCTAACCTGAATGCCTGTAAATGATGTATGTATATACTGTTTTTATTCTGAATGTGTATATATTATGAAAAGTCTTTTTGCATACAGACTGTCACAGCTCATTGGACATCTTTTAATTACTGTTTTGGCTTTCGCCAGCCCCTGTACTCTGTATTACTGTTTTACTATTAAGCAAGCCTTCGGTAATCTCGGATTACTGGCTGGTTACGGTGCTAAACCCATAGGAGCGGGTTTGAGTCGTGACAATATCACGATTGGCCGACAAAGCCTCCGGATTCGGAGCGCCCTTCGTGGATGTCACGATTGGCCCAATAAAGTCTCTGGATTCTGAGTGCCCTTTGTGGATATCACGATTGGCCGACAAAGCCTCCGGATTCAGAGCGCCCTTCGTAGATATCATGATTGGCCAAAAAAGCCTTCGGATTCAGAGCGTCCTTCGTGGATGTCACGATTGGCCTAATAAAGTCTCCGGATTTGGAGCCCCATCGGCACATGACATCTTTGGGCCGACAAAGTCTCCGGATTCGGAGCGCCCTTCGTGGATATCACGATTGGCCGACAAAGCTTCCGGATTCGGAGCGCCTTTCGTGGATGTCACGATTGGCCCAATAGAGTCTCTGGATTCAGAGCGCCCTTCGTGGATATCACGATTGGCCGACAAAGCCTCCGGATTTGGAGCGCCTTTTGTGGATATCATGATTGGCCGATTAAAGTCTCCGAATTCGGAGTCCCATCGGCGCATGACATCTTTGGGCCAATAAAGTCTTCGGATTCGGAGCGCCCTTCGTGGATGTCACGATTAGCCCAATAAAGTCTCTGGATTCGGAGCTCCATCGGCGCATGACGTCTTTGGACCGACAAAGCCTCCAGATTCGGAGCCCCCTTCGTGGATGTAACGATTGGCCCAATAAAGTCTCCGGATTCGGAGCGCCCTTCGTAGATATCACGATTGGCCGACAAAGCCTCCGGATTCAGAGCGCCCTTCGTGGATATCACGATTGGCCCAATAAAGTCTTTGGATTTGGAGCCCCATCGGCGCATGACGTCTTTGGGTTGACAAAGCCTCTGGATTCGCAGTGCCCCTCGTGGATGTCACGATTGGCCAGTCTTCGGATTCGGAGCCCCATCGGCGCACGACCTCTTTGGGCCGATAAAGCCTCCAAATTCGGTTGACCAGTGTCATCGAGCGGCGCTCAAGGGCCGAGTAATATTCTGAATTCGGAGTGCCCTCCAGAATGAAAACATTTACACATCGAAGTAGGGATATGTAGGTTGAACCAGTACAACCGCGTGAAAGAGACAAAACGTTCCAGCATTCAAGATAAGATGCTTAATTAAGCATACAAAAATTTAGAATGAGATAAACTTCTAGAATGAAACATTTTATTCGATTAAATAGTAATTACAAAAAACGCAATCCGCGTTCGAAGCATTACAACATCTACTCTCATACGGCGTCGCGTTGGGACGAGCGGCAGCACCGAATCAACGCCCGCTGATCAGAGAGCACACGTAACTTGAAATGCTTTGATCTGGCCGCGCTAGAATCCACGATTCACACCGACGAGATAATCACCGTTGAGGCTAGGACCTTTGACACCATAGACAACGTCAAGGCCAAGATCCAAGACAATGAAGGAATTCCCCACGAAAACAATAATACCCAACGGTCGCGGCGCTACGATAGCCTCATTTCTCCATCGCGATTGCGGAGAACTTCGCCATTGCTATTTGTCCCTTCGAGGTGATCTGCTTTGATGACTTAAAAGCTGACGTTTTTCCCGTCTTTTAAACGCCCTACCTCCCGCACAAGTGGGTTCTCTGCTGCGATTCATTACAATGTCAAGCTCAGCCAGAGTCTGAGCTTTTCCTCTGCTGCTGAAGAAAAACTCCATTCGATATTCACACCTATCCAACCCCGCGCAACAAAATCATTTTAAATTGAGTCTGAGCATAGTAAGTGAAGTCTCTAGAGCAAAAAATTCGAGGTGATTTATTTCGAAACACCTTGCGGTGGCCTCGAGGCGATTTCATTAACATTGAACTCCAAAAGACGGATGCCGGGCGATATTTGCCACAACCACTCCATGCACCGACTATCTCCGGATTCGGAGCCCCTGGCGCATGATGCCTTTGGGCCGATTGAGCCTCCGAATTCGGAGCCTCATCGACGCGATTGACCGCGCGCAACACATGCAAAATATATATTTAATGAAGAGTGCTCATGACAAGCCGACATGTAACCGTTCGGAATTAAACTGACTAGCTGACTCTGGCCGGTCAATGTTTATAAATGAAACACATGCAAACACGTGTGTGCCGAATGCAAATTACAATGAAACTTTTTTTAAAAAAAGGACATTTTATTCAATCAGGCAATAATTACATAGTTATGAACGCGATTCGTGTTTGAATGTTACATTGAGTGTTTTTACACAACGTCTCCCTCTTCTTCACTCTGCTCGACTTCAAAGGCGGCAAACAGAAGATGGTTACGTTGGTACAGTGGCAATGCCGAGTCGACGCCCATTGCTCGAAGAGCTTCTTCGGCCTAAGGCGCCTTGATCCAACCGTGTTTAAATCCACGATTTTCGCATCGGCAAACTTCCTCGGTGAGTTTTTTCTTGGTCTTCTGTATCCCGACTTTTCGGCCATCGTAGAAGCCTTTTTCATAGGCCCTCCCATTCGCGGATTCCATCGCGAACATGCTCGCCGTATCTCGATCGGCGAGCGCGGTACTGATAAGCCGTTGGGTGACCCTTTCTTCCACAATTGGGTTAGCCTGTCCGCCGAGTTGTTCGTGAACGGCCTTGACCTTCCTTAGCTGACATTCAGCCTCTTCCGCGCGAGCCTCCAAGTTTCGGATGCGTTCATCCCTCTTCTCTATTTCTCGGTGGGCAGCACGAAGATGTATACCGATTTTGTAGGCGGTGTAGAGCCCCTTCACCGCACCATGAATGCCTTCATGAAACACTTCGAAGTCCTGCCGACCTACCATCGACTGTTGGACCTCGGGAGGAAAAATTTGTCGAGCAAATTCGACCGCCACACTTGAATCTCGAATGATCGAGTCCGCACCTGTCATGGGTCTATTCCCCCATGAAGACTGCGAAGCTCAATGGGCGTGGGTTCGCACCGGGCTCCCTTCCAGAACGAGGTTGCGGGGATTTGCCCTATGGCTCATTGTCTCCCCTAGGTGACCTACTTCGACGACGAGGAGATCCACATCTCTCCCGATCCCTCGAAGTCCTGCCTCCTGCCCGCGAAGGTTCGCCACTTTGATTCATGTTTTCTTCCAGCTCCGCTAGCGTCCTTGCTTCCCCTTTGCTGTTAAAAAAGAGTCTATTCGACATTCGCGCTCGTTTATTCTCCATCAAAGACCTGAACTGAGTTGCTCACTGAGCACGTAAATAGGACCTTCATTCATTTATTTCCTACGAGGGCAGCGCCACCGAGGCAATCTCATTAATGTCGAAACCTCAACAGCCCGGCGCTGACCCAGTCGTGCCCCCATCACACACTGTTATTCGGCGTTTAATGTTCGAGAACCAATTGGGGCAAGGGCAGATTCATCAATCAATCCAGCTCGAGTGCCGCAGCCGCTTCACGAATCGACTAATCAATATTGTATGATTCGGCGTTTAATGATCGCGAACCACCTGGGGCAAAGGCAGATTCATCAATCTATCCGGCTCGAGTGCCGCAGCCGTTTCACGAATCGACTAATCAATATTGTATGATTCAGTGTTTAATGATCGCGAACCAGCTGGGGTAAGGGCAGATTCATCAATCTATCCGGCTTGAGTGCCGCAACCGCTTCACAAATCGACTAATCAATATTTTATGATTCGGTGTTTAATGTTCGCGAACCAGCTGGGGCAAGGGCAGATTCATCAATCTATCTGGCTTGAGTGCCGCAGCCGCTTCATGAATCGACTAATCAATATTGTATGATTCGGCGTTTAATGATCGCGAACCAGCTGGGGCAAGGGCAGATTCATCAATCTATCCGGCTTGAGTGCCGCAGCTGCTTCATGAATAGACTAATCAATATTGTATGATCCGACATTTAATGTTCGCGAACCAGCTAGGGCAAGGGCAAATTCATCAATCTATCCGACTCGAGTGTCGTAACCGCTTCACGAACCGATTTACTCGTCCTATTCGGCACCAAGAGTCCGTTTACTTGTTCGGATAAATTAAAGTTTAACTAATATAATTGCCAACATTACACTGATTCCAATCGCTGGTTAGAAGGCACAACAGACAGTAATCATTTTATCCAAAGTAGTGGAAGGCAAAACTCTTCATTAATATCAGAAACTTCGTACAAATAATAGTGAAATAGGATGGAAATTTTCATTAATAAATTGAGCATAGATAGTAACTAATTTATACATGAAAATTACCTTGAACTAACAAGGATCCACTAAACAAAAACGTACATCGAAATTAAAGATACCTAATAAAACTAGAATGTGTCCCAGATCAATCTTCGGGATCAGACTCAAGTGGCTCAACGTCCACTTGCTCGTATGGAATTGGCAAGGCCAATGTAACTCCAGCGGAAGCAAGGGCTTTGAGCCACCCATGTTTGAATCCCCGATTCTCGAATTTGGGAACCTCATCTACGTATTCCTTCAAGGCGGCGCTCTTCCCAGCTTCTAGCGTTGTAGAAGCTTCAGATTCGGCTTTTTCCTTGGCCGCCTTCAATTCTTCTAACTCGGCCTCTACCTTGGAAAGCGCCTCATGGGTTAACTTGAGCGACTTTTCGCTCGCGTTCGCCCTATCCTCGGCTTCGGATCTGAGCTGGTCAGCAGTCCGAGCCCTCTCCTTTTCAGTTTTGGCTCAAGCACTTTCCATTGCGACTCTTATCGCCTCAAACTCGGCCCTACTTCTTTCACCCTCAGCTTCAACATTTAAGCGGCCAATTCTTTCAATGGCATCAAGCTGCCGGTGGCCAAGTTCAGCTATCCTTCCAACCGTCTGCAAAACAAGTTTGGATCGTCACATCAGGCAACGTCGTACGCAAACCAAACCAAACGAGCAAAAACGAAAGTATCGTATACATACTAGAAGGGCCGACTGGGCAACGAACGTTATAGCTACCAAATCCGGCTCTAAAAATGTGGCCTTGTTAGCCGGTAGCAAAACTGAGGTGGCCAAGCTCAATGCCACGGCTGGATCCTTCATGGCAGATGTGTCAGCGGAGATTGGCGTGTCTTTGATCTTTGGTTGAACAACGAAGGGGGCAACCACGTCAGACTCCTTGAAGCGAGGCCGTTTGTCAGCAGGGCTATCCTCTGAGCCGGTCTCTCCCTCGGCGGAACGTTTTTCGCCCCGCTCTTTTGAAACCTGCCGTTCTTCCGTAACCTGCTGTTCAGCTCCCTCCATCTCGGCCACGACAACTTGAGTCGTTTCTTCTCCAGTAACCGGTTGTATAAATTCAACTGGGGCAGGCTCAGAACGAGCTGCCTCGACTTTCTTTCGGGTGGCCATTCTCTCGGCATTTTTCTTTCTCACCATCTGCGTGAGATTTTCCCCAGCCATGCCTTCAGAAAAAGTGCCAGGTAGATCTCCCAAGTTTGTAAAAATGTCTCTGATGGAAAACTTCGCCCGACCCGAAGTGGGCAAAGAGTTAGGTTTGTTAACATCGGCTGCCGCAAACGTTGATTTGAGGGCTTCGTTGACTTCTTCAGCCTCCGTAGCGAACACCTTCGTTGATTCGGCAACTACTTCAACCACCGGCTCTAAGTCTTTCTCCGAATCAGAAGCTTGAAGACCAATTTGCCTGAGGGTCTTGAAGCTAGGGAAGACAAGAGCCGTAAGGTGTTGTTCACCGGTTGGGATCGGAATATCGTCCACGGCCGAGAATGTGGTATAAGTAGACTTGTACCGCAGGAGAATATGGGTGGCTCTCCCTTGCTTCTGTACGTTCGGACGGCCAAAGTACTTTAGTACTGTCTTAATTTCCGCAAGGACTACGTCGTTAGCTGAGGTCAAAATCCTCTTCAACTTATTGCCTGCAAGAATAAAGGGTAAGGCTTGGAGAAAATGCCGTATAAAAGAAAGATCAACGAACAAGCAGTTATACGGCAACCTGGTTCACCCCTTCGTCTGGGAATAGGGTCCAGGCGATCTTCGCTTTCGCCGAATTCCCAGTTACCTCGGACATTGACCATTACATTGTCAACTTGTTTGCCAGAGCTGGCAAGCATCGTCACCACGTGATGGTCGGTGTCCTTAGCCCTGAGAAAGTAGCGCCCGAGCTGACCGGAGGATTTGGCTAAAGCATAGCAGTATCGAATCGCCGGAATCCGAGGTTGATCCTGAGACGCTGGTTCAACTCTACGATTCTCATTATGATTCGAAAAATTTTTACATTGGGTTGCGAAGGAATCAGACTCCAATAGCGGAGGACGGCCCTGAGAAATAGGTGTAGGGGAAAGCGAACTTTGCCCTCCGTAATAGATAGGAGAGGGAAGACGATTGTATTTTGGTCATCCCTCTCCATATCAAGGGTATTGTCCGTTACCAGAGCAAGATGGACATCCTCAGGAATAGAAAAATGTTTTCGAAACCCAGAAATTCGACCCTCAAAAAGGAGGTCTTTCAAATGCTTAGCCATTCTAGCAAGGACTCGAGGATATCCTAAATCAAAAATAAATACGAAAATAGGATTGCAAGGAGAAGAGAATAAAACTTACAAAAGGCAAAGGAGACAAGGAGAGAACGGATAAGAGTTGCAGAAAATGCGTCGAAGAAGAGATACCGACTGGCAGTCCAGGAAGTTCAAATATTCGAAAAAACATGTTTTCGAAGGGACTTAAGTTTCAAATCGTAATAAATGCGAGAGAAGCACGAATGGGGCGGGAAAGCGTTACAATGACCAAAA